GTTTGAGGGGTCATAGTACATCTGGGGCTCATGAGAACAGGCAATGCATGCCCCTCCTGCAGGGAGTGTCCCTGAAGACCCTGGCACACAGGAGCACAGTGGGAGGCTTCCCTTCTCAGCCACCTCTGTCTGACCTCCTGGTCCACCCCTGCCACTTCCTTTAGCAGTAACCTGGCGGCTCCTGTCCACACTGGGCTGCACACACAGTAGCACTTTATTGCTCAGGCTTCCTCACACACCTGCTGTGGGATGCCCAGTGGGCACTCACGCAGGCCAAGTCTGGCCAGTGAGGGGTTGGTATGGACTTGTCTTGAGCATTTGGGGACAGGAGCCAGTGTTGAGTGCAGTTCTGTCCTGGAGCGATCCAGGTGAAAGTGACTCCCCAGGGTGTCAGCTGCAACCAGCTCAGTAACACTCCTTGACGCGGGTTTGCCGCAAGTCCCTGTTTCTTGACTGCTGCTTGTCTCTGCTTTCTGGGGATTCAGGCTACCAAATGCCACCTGGGCCCCTGTATTAGAAACCAATTCCGGGCACATGGCCTCCCCTCCAGCCTCTTCCACATCCTTCTCTATGGAAAGGAGGCTCCAGGATGCCTTTCCCAGAGTCCCTTGCTGTTAGGAATCTCATGCAGCTTGGGCTGTGCCAAAGGGAAGTGGCGCCTAGCAGGCTGGAAGGCAGAAGGGAGGGACAGGCCATTGTGGCTGCAAGATGGATGGTGGAACACTGTGTGCATGGTTTTCTGCAGCAAAAGAACACCACATTTTTCAAGTCTCTCCCACTTAATGCATGCGCCACTGGGTTGTTGGGGCTATCCTTTCCTGTGAAGGGGGGCAATCATGAGGAGCAGAGACTGCCCTACCTCCCATTCCTCCAAGCTGTCCTCACACTTCATTCCCTGCACTCAGTCCCTTTCTAGGCAAAACACCTAGATAGATTGTGTTTCTTTCTGCAGTGGACCAAGGCTGACTTGACTACTTCTCCCTCCACTACAGACCTGTACCACTGAAAGAGCTCACATTCATTCACAAGCCGAGAGCCAGGCTGCAGGTTACATGCTCAACAGCCACTCCCCTGCTTCCTCTACACATGAGCTTCCCTGGTTGAAGGCTGGCTTCTGCTGCATCTGGTTTGGGCGTAAAGCCCAACCCTGGCCTGATAAGAACGTGCAGAAGGAGGGCTTGGGTTAGGAGATTGTCCCTGATGAAGGGAGACACACGGGAGAAATGATCCTCCCTGTCTGTGCACGGGGTCTTTGAAGATGTGACGCTGGGGCAGCAATGCCGACAGCTGTCTCGTGGCTGTGAGGATGAAAGCCCACCTAGAGAGAGGATACACCTGGGCCCGTGACAGCATCATTGAGCCTCACAAGGAACTGCGCCCACTTGTGGCAGGTACTGCCTGCCAGTCCTCTCTCTCTCTGAAGCTTTCTTCTTGCTGATGACCTGGAACTGGGGCTGCCAAGATCTCTGGGAGCTGGATCCTTGTCCTGGATGTGAAATTGAAAGAGGGAGACAAGAAGCTCAGTCTTGGAGTCTGATGCCACTTGATGCGCTCTTTTAAAAAAGTCAAAATGAATGCAACATTGCAGGATGAACAAAACATCGAGGTTTTTAATCAAGGCAGGATCAGCATCACTTGGCTCCCCTGTCCCACCATGATCTCATCTGTGATCATAACGAGAGAGGGAAAGGAAGGGGTTCGGGGCTTTGCGAGTTAGATGATGTTACCAGTGATCCCACACAAGTCCTTTGCCTTATCTGGACTGAAGTGGCTGTATCAGTCCTGCACTGGCCCTGTGGCTTTTTGCCCTGTGGCCTCCTGACCTGCCCTCCACAGCCCCGTGGCCCGCCGAGGTTAACAGCCCTCTTCCTGCGAGGTTGCGTCTCCAGGGCCATCGACTCCTAGCTATTAATATCTCGACCATCCCTGGCCCGATCAGGGTGTTTAATGACTGCCAGCTGTGGCTTCAGTCCCCTCCCGCGGGAGAGATAAGAGCAGTTCCTGTTCCCACATGAGGGGAGGTGGGAGGAGGCCCTGGGTGAGCAGTGGGAATGCAGGGCCGGAGTCTGTTGTTCACCCCACCCCCTCCCGACACACCAGTGGGGGTGTCTGAGGATACGTACTCTCCTACCCCGCTCCCCCACAGGGGGGCTGTCCTGGTCTCCCCACACCCTGCTTGGGCCTTGTCACGTTAGGTCCTGACGTTCACAACCTTGGGATTTCCCTCCTGTCCCACAGATCTTATATTCAGTCTGTCCCGTACCAGCTTGTCGCCTCCCCAGCCCATCCCTTCCTTCTCTGTCACCTGACACTGTCACCTCCCCCAACCCACAGCCACCCCCTCACTGGGAAGCTGTCCCCTATGCACATTTCTTGGGCACCCTGGAATGGCAAGAATTGGCCATGGGGTGTCCCCTGCCAGGAGGACATTTTGTGCTGGGATGGTGGGGGTCTAGAGGGGGGCTGCTCATCTTTGTCTTCCCAGGAACTAATACTTGAGTTAACTGGCCAACCGGAGGCTGAGCTCCACCTGGGGTGGCACCTGGGCCTGAGACAGGCTTTGTGTGCAACAGAGGCTGGAGGTCTGGAACTGTGGGGACAGTTGCTGGGTCTCCTTAATCCCAGGCTGACTTGGGGTCCAGTCCTGTCTCCTCTCCTCCTTGTCACTTGTTCTCAGACATTCGGGGCCTTAAGAGCCAATCTTCGTGAGGTCTTGGAAGCATCCACCAGGTGGCGATAGAGATGAACTGACCAGGGCTGACAGGTGCCCGGCGGAACAGAAGAGGGACTGGAAAGGGAGGGGTCTGGGAAAAACCCTGCTATGGCCGCCCCCAGTCTGGGACACCCAGCTCCGTCGTCTGCTGTCTGAGACTGTGGCTCAGCGCCTCCTTGTTCCTGAACACCTATTGTTAAGGTTTCCACCCAGCACCTCTCAGGGCAGGACCTCCCTGAGGTCATCTGTTTGCGTCCACTTCCTGGGTCTCTCTTGGCCTCATTCACTGCCCACATTCCAGGCTGGTAACGCTGCTCCCTTTTCCAGGCGCTCTGAAGCCAAGACACATGGTAGGCGTGCATGTGTGTGTTCTGTCTAGAGTGGGTGGGCCAGGTGCTGCTCTGGCAGCTGCTGGGGTCCCATGGCTGGAAGGCTGGTAGCTGCCCTTTTATCGCCTTGTTTCTACAGACCTGTCGACCCCTCCCATGTCTGTGTCCACTTCCTCTTCCCCTCTTCTGCTGGCTGGAGCTCCTCTCTCAAAAAGGAGTCCATCCAGTTCCCTGACATTGTTCTCTGCACAGCCTACCTCCGCTCTGTTTATTTCTCAATCTGCTCCCCCCGCCTTCCGGGGCTGCCTGGGAATCCCTTGGGGCCCTGGAGGGCAGAGGGGGGTGGCACAGGGCTCCGGGCAGACACTTCCTGCTTAGCCGACCACACACCTTAGCTGGGAGCCGAGTTCAGCTCCCTCTCACCTTCCTGCGTTGTACAGGTGATGTCAGCCAGAGGGGCCGGAATCTCTGAAAGAGTCGGGAGTGCAAGGCCTCGGCTGGGGCTTTGGGGCCTGATGGAGGAGTGTGGGGCTCGGGCCAGGACTCTGGGGCCAGTTCAAAGGGGCACCAAGTGGGCAGGAGGAAGAGGGAACCCATTGGGAATGTGTGACTAGAGCATGGGCATGTGGCCTGTGCACACCCTCTCCTCCGCTCTGCCCTGGAGAGGCAGAGGCTGTCCCGCTCAGCTTGCCACCTCCAGCACCTCCTGCAGTGACCACTGCTTGACTAGGCAGGCGAGGGGCAGAGCATGCCCTCTGCAGCAGGCCTGCGCTGGCCTGAGGTGAGGGCCAGGAGCACGCCCTCCTTCTGATCATGCGGGTCGGAGCATGGAATGTGACTTTCCAAAGTATGCTAGCCCTCTCAGCCTTGGCTAGATTGCACCTGACTTGGCCATGGCAGGTGCCAGGTTGGCGCTGTCATTTGCTGATGGGTCCTGGGGTAGCAGTGAGTGGGACAAGACATTGAAGAAAACTTGCAGGCAGAGCTGGACCTGGCCAGCCTATTCGGACCCCTCTGCACCAGCTGGGCACCCCTTGTTTGAGTAGGCTGGAGGTAGGACCCACGGAAGTGAATGACTCTTGGAGATACCTCTTGCTGGCTGGCATGACCCAATGCACGGTACTGCCTCTCTGGCCAAATCTTTCTATCAACTGGACTGTCTGCTCACTCATTCGTGTTCATGACGTCTGTGTTGACCTCTACCTACTTCCTGTCTGCTGAACCCTAGAAATGGGGACGTAGCCGCCATCTCACATCTCCTTGTCTGCGGAAATGACTGCAGCTTCACAGCAAAGCCTTTCTGGCACCCTGGGGCTGCTGCTCTGTGCTGTCCTGTATTGATCCAATGACCTGAATGAGCTCATCATGGCTGGATTTAGGAGGCTAGGGGACCCAGTGGAGATGTGGTCTGACTTGATCAAGGAGAGGATACCACTCAGAAAGGTAAGAGGTGGGGATTGGCACATTGGCTAAGCCTCTCTGCCTATGGCACTGGCATCCCATAGAAGTACCAGTTTGTGTCCAGGCTGCTCCACTTCCCATCCAGCTCTCTGCTTATGGCCTAGGAAAGCAGTAAAGGATGGCCCAAAAGCCTTGGTCCCTGCACCCATGTGGGAGACCCGGAAGCAGCTCCTGGCTTCAGATTGGCTCAGTTCTGCTCATTGCTGCATTTAGAGAGTGAACCAGTGGATGGAAGATCTTTGTCTCTCTGTAACTCTGCCTTTCAAATTGAAAAACTAAATGAACTATATGTTCAAGAAGATGGGATTTGAAGGTCCTCAGAATGTGTGCTCCTCAGTGGAAGGAAGAATGGGAATTTCTGTCTAACATCAGAGTGGTCTTGGCCGTGTTTCGGGCCACCTCTCCTTGGAGTGGGGTTGGAGGAGATGGCTGCGAGTGGGGAATGGCCCCCATTTCCGGTCACATGAGGGCATCAACCACCAGAGCAAACAAATCAGTCCAAGCCAACGTTTATTGTTGCACAAGCCTGCTGTAGTCCTGAGAGCATCTGCTGGCCAGAATGTGGGCGTGGGCATGGGTAGGAAGCTGCGTGGGCACAGGGGTGCTGAGCGGGCGGTGGATGATGTCATGGCCACCAGGCTCTTGTCCAGGCTGGGCCACACACTCCAGGGAGGGTGGGATGGGGGAAGGGATTCAAGACAGAACAGCCATGACAATGACATTGGTGATACAAACGCCCAAGATGACCTAGCTGACCAGGGTACAGAAAAACCAGCAGTTACAAGTCAGGGTTTCCTCTTCCCATCAGCCAGATCAAGTTCAAATCCTATCTGTGCAACAGGCTGGGATACCTGCTCTCTGGGAGACGGTTTCCATAATGTCTGCTTTGCTGAGCTGCTGTGAGGATTAGGGGGCCCGTGGGGCGCCTGAGTCCAGGAGCACGGACCTGTTGGCCTAGTTGTATATGTGCTGCCGAAGCGAGCACCTGTTGGCCTAGTTGTAAAAGCTGGCCATTACACAGGTGGGCCGTCAGGAGCACAGCTCTTGACTTTGCTATGCTCTCTCAGCCCGTAGGGGCTGTTCCCTGCTACAACGAAACCCATCGGACAGATGAGGCCGCTGAGGACCGCAGAGCCCGCAGCGTTAGTCTAAAGGCCTCACAGGGGCCGGTCTCTTCACTTCCCAGATGGCCTGGGCTCCTCAAGTCCTGGGCTGTGCTATATGGACGCTGTATCCACAACAGGGCAGCGGGGACTACAAACACAGCTGACCTCCGCGAACCCAAACTGTGGGTCGCAACCTAATCTGCCCGAGGTAGAGAAACCGAGTGGCCTACAGTAGTGGAGGAGGAAGAAGACGCCGGGGGAGGGGAAGCAACTACATCTGCGAGCTGCCTGCATGGTAACATTGAACTCAAGGAAACTTGTAGTGGGGTTTCAGGCACTGTCGGATTGTTGGGGGAGGTGGTGGTTGACCTTTCCTGGCAGGTCTCCACTGCCTTTAGATCACCCAAAAGTCTTTGGAAGATGGGAGGTTGCTTTTCTTCCATTGGTCAGAGGAGATACTAGGGGGCGGAGCCAGGAGTATGCAAATTCCTTGCGGGTGTTTAGTGGGTTCCACCCTTCCTTCTGACTTCAGACGAGATCGGGTGTGTTCAGGGTGGTATGGCCGTAGACTCCTTCTGACTTCAAGCAGCGCCTCCCCCTACGAGTACTGTGCAAAGGCTTTGGGCAGGCGCAAAGGGCTGCATTCCTCCGGAGTGTCCAGACCTAGGGGTCTGGGCTGAGCCTGGCTGCATTGAGGCAGGCCAGAGTGCGCAGGAGAAGGCAAGAAGAGCCTCGTGAGGCCTCTCAGTGTCTGCGAGTCAGACCAAGGAGACCTCGGCCTGGAAGCTGGAGGCGCGGCGTGCGCTGGGGCTGACGCGGGTCAGCATGGAGACCTGCGTGCTGCTCGTGGCGCCGTTGCTGCCGACTGATGGGTGCTGGTATTTGGGATGCCAACCCAGAACGCCCTGCAGGTGCCAGCGCCGCCACTTCCGCCGCAGCTCGGCCTGCACCTAGAAGAGAGGGTGGTCAGACCTGCCAGGGCGGATTGGGCCGCGTGGCAGTCAGTCTCATCCTCAGTCTAAATCAAGGGACCTAACTGCTGTGTTGAGTAATGCAGAAGGAGGACCAGCATGGGGTCAGGTTCTGGGGTTGGTGGAACTGGTGGCGGCAGGCAGCATCTGGGGTGCGAGTTGGGGATGGATAGGGCGTGGTGCCTGGGGATTGCAGCAGCAGAATCTTCCCATCGCCACGCACAGCTCACCTGAGCGCATCCCGGTGGGTTTTTGTGCTTTCCGACCCAGGCTCTGCAGCTGTTCCGCCTTCACTCCCCACTCCTGTCCCCTCCCAATCTTTCTGCACACTCTTTCTGCTTAACCCCATGTTTCTCAAAACCTGACGTGCAGCAGGATCTCCCTTCTTTACAATGTGGAAATGTAAATTTCAAGTGGGATGGCCCCAGAGAGGTGCACTGATTGATGAGGTTCAGGTCGGGGGGGCTGGGAGGGATGCTGGTGCTAGTCCCAGCGCCTCACTGGACGGAGCAAGATCGACCCTGCTCGTCCTCGCTCTGTACATTCCCCACCTGTGTCCCTGTAGTCCCTAGCCCACCTGCCCGGGGAGGGGCTTACCTCACCATTGAGGAAGCAGTAGAGGACGGCCACGACAAAGCCCTGGGGACCCAGGAGAAACAGAGAGGTGAGGCAGACAGTCCCCAGCAGCCCTCAGCTCCATCCCACCCCTACCCCAGACCCTGTGTTCTCCTGGTGAAGGAACTGGCTAGATGCAAAGTAGGTTCATAGTCAATATTTATCACAGGGAAGTGACCGGAGCCCGGGGGCCAGTGGCCAGGGCTCCGGGTGAATCTCTCAGCACACAGAGAAGAAAGCAGTCGTAGGGCAACGGCTCCTACCTGGAAAGATCCCACCACCAGCTCAAAGACCAGTTTGACTTCAGCCTTGAAATTGTCAGGGAAGAAGGCGAACATGATGTAGTGCACTCCGAACAGCGGGATCAGCAGCAGCGTGGACTTGGCCAGCCTCCTGCAGGCAGGGGCAGGCTGTGAGTACCCACACACTCAGCAGGCTGGGGGCACAGATAAAGGGGACCATGACTGGCACTGTGAGCAAGGGCTGTCGGCTCCCCTAAATCTTCTCTTGTTTCCTCTCCTCGGCAGCCTGGCCCTCCCAGACTGTATGGAAGCCTGAAAAACTGTTCTCCACCCTTATTGTTCTGGGGGAGAGAGTAGAAGCAGGAGACCAGTGAGGAGGAGGGAGGACCATGGGGGTTCAGCTCCTGGGGTGATATTCACAGGCAGTGACAGATTCTGACTTCCCCTCTCCTCGCCTCAGTTTTCCCAATCTGTACAATGGGCTAAATGTATGCCCAACAGGGTCAACTTTCCAAACGCAGGAAGCCCATACACTTAGATGTGCTTCAGGTGCTAAAAAGGGTGGCAATCTGATGACCAACAGGTTCCATTCTGAGAATGACGACTTCTGGGAGGCAAGTCTTCCTAAGTGGGACTCCTCGGGTGACTGTTGGGTGCCTACGCTTATGCCTGGTCACCAGGGATGCCCTAGGCCTCCTCAGGGTAGCCCTGTGCTCTGGACTTGGCTGTCTGTCCACTGCTTTCTCTGAGCTCGCACCACCATCTCCCCACTTCCCAGGCCAGGGCCCTGTGTGCTTGGCAGGGTCTGCATCCACACCAGGGGCTTGATCTTTTCTGAAGGACAGAGCTGGTCCTGGGTCCAGCCTCCCAGGCACATGACCTCCTAGCTGGCTACCTAGGCAGCATGAGCCCTCGGATCCCTGGCTGGGAGGGGATTGGTGGTGGTGGTAGGAGTCTTTGCCCTCATTTTTCCTGCCTTGCCAGTCAGTCCAGGAAGACCTAACCCAGGGTGCAGTGGGGGCAGGGGGCCCACAGCAAGTTGGGGGCAGAGGAGCTGGCCCTGCCTGCCAACCCCTTCCTGGAGCCTGAGTACGGCCCACCCTGCTCTCTGCAAATCTACCCACACACCAAGGCTGACAGATGGAGGCCTTCTTTAAACTGAAGGCTTACGGGGAGGTGGAGAGTGGGAGCTGACAGCCCCTCCCTGGGGAGCTCCATCTCCCAAGTCTCGCCACCCCTCTGCCTGCTCACAGCTGCTCCCTCTCCCTCTCACCCACACGGACCTGAACCTGGCCGTGACCAGCTCTCTTTGGCTCAGGTTCAAGTTCTTCTGAGCTGTTCTATCTCAGGCAAAATCAGGCCCCGCAAGTAGAGGAGAACAGGACGGTGTGGGGTTCTCTGTGTTGTCTCCAAGTTCCTGCAGCCCCCTTGAGTGCTCCCCTACCCCCATGGGGCCTTGCATTCCCCGAACAGGAAGGGAAGCTCCGCCTCCACACCCAGGCAGGCAGGAGAGAAAGCTGTCACCCCAGGAATATGAATCTTAGTCTCATTAGGGAGAATCACACGATTCCGGAATAGAATCCTAAATCCGGTAGCTCGTGACATTCTAGCCAGGAATCGCACAGACCTCCCAAAGAGAAGCTAGGCCAAGAGCATTCTAGAATCCTAAGCCTTGAAAGGCCACTCTGGGATGTCCTAGGATTGTGTATGCATGGTACTGCGTCTTGGTCTCCTGTTTCTGTCTGCAGGGGTGCAGACCCCAACTCGCTTACCCGCAGCCCGCCTTTCCACCTTTCTATAGCTCTGAGGCCTTTTGAGTATTGATAACTCCCCCAGAAGCTCTGCCTCTTTCTGGTTCTCCCAAACCATTGCAGGCTGATGGACCCTGCATCCCCTTTCCCCTGCCCATGTGCATCCAAGCTCTGGAAATGGGCTTTGGACAGGGGCCTTGGGGCTGAAATGAGACAGTGCAAGGAAACTCCTTGGCACATGCCAGGCACATGAACCACAGGTGGCCTCATGACTGGGGACGCTGGGTCTCTTGGGCAGATGGGGGACCCCTGGGGCTATGCACTGAGTGTATCCCTTTCCTGTGCCAGCACATACCAGGGACTATACACCAGTAACTGTCTCCCCGAGCTCCCAGATGTGCATCTGGGAAGGATGCTATGTGAGTGAGGGTGGGAGCAGGCTGCATGAAGTTCCCTCAGGCAGCTTGGAGGGGACAGGGAGTACTAACAGGCTGAGCCAGGCCACAGACAGGCATGTAGGCAAGGACAAAGGGCTTTTCGGAACTCTGGAGGTTTGGGCTTAGCTGTAGGGCTGACTTTAAGGGATGCAAATGAAACGAGGCGTTTGGGGGGCGGGCAGGGCGCTGGGCCCACACTCACGAGTACGGGCTGCTGTCGCTCTTGCCGATATCTGGGGGCCGCAGCTTCTGAACCAGGATGCGGATGATGCAGATAAACAAGACGAAGTTCACCTAGTGGGTGGGGGCCCGAGGTCGAGCAGTCACAGAGGGGAGGCTGGGCGCACCATCTCCGGGGCCATCTTCTTCCCTGGGGTCCTGCTGCCCTTCCGTCTTACTCTGCCCAGCACGTCTCGCAGGATCCCTGCCTCATGCCCCCGGGGATCAGGCCTCCCCATCTGCGAACTGAGGGCAAGAACTGGCAGGATAGGGATGAGCCAGTGTCAGGCTCCAGCCCAGACACTGACTGCATGTGTGGCCTGAGGCGTTGTCAACCCACTTTGGGCCTCAGTTTCCCCATCTCAAAGAGGCGGGAGAAGTCCTTACCAGGATGGAGGCGAGGATGGGCCCTTTAATGATCCACCACAAAGGGGAGTTGATGGTGTCCCAGCACCTGAGTGGGGTATGGTGGGAGGATGAGAGAGGGTGTCCCTCAGGCAGGTCAGAATCTTCCCAGCTGTCCCCTACTCTCTGCCTCCTGAGCTCTTCCTCCTGTGCTCTGTTGCCTCACAGCCTTCCCCCTCTGGACCAAGTGCAGTGCTCTATCAGTTGCCCAGCCCAGGCAGAACATTCTCTCTGCACCCCAGGGGTCTGGCCCAGTGGATGGTTGTAAGTGGGGTGGTGGGGGATGGTGACAGCTCACCCATAATCCTCAAACTGGATCCTGATGACAGTCCACACCATGGTAAACGTGCTGGGCACTCCTGTCCGGACCGAAGGAGAGAGGAAAGGAAAGGGCATGGGAAACGGGTGCAGGGCATGAGGGAGAGATTTAGGAGCAAAAATCAGGCAGCAGGAGGGCAGGGTGGGTTTCTGTGATTGCCACCCATGGTTGCACAGGTTGCTGATTTAGCAAAGACTCTCCCCCAAGATGGAAGAGCTGCAGGCCCAGGATGCTGTGTCCACCTGGAGGGACAGTCTTCCTCTAATTGTGACAGATATGCCTTATGGATTAGCAATGGCCCCATGGGCTTCAAGGGCTGAAGGAGAGATGGCAGGGTGAAGACAGACTCTGTCCCACAGGCTAGCTGTGGGGACAGCTGCAGGCTGGAGAGCACCTGCCCCAGCACCAACACACCTAGGGTCTCTTTCCCCTGCTGATCAAGATTCTAACCAGATTGAAGGCTATGGGTTGGGTGGATATCCTCCCCCCATGTTGCCCACCCCATCTGTCCCCAACTGGGCAGCCCTCCCTGGTACCATACCCCAGCCGATGAGTATGTACCCCCAGAAGTACTTCCGCTCGGAGAAGAAGGAGACAGCAAGCAGGGTGTGTAGGTAGAGGCCCTCCACGAGCAGCCAGAAGAAGTTGGCCATGACACAGTACTGGAAAAAGACCACGGCCACCTTGCAGCCCACCTGCAGGGGGAGAAGCCAGGAGGTGGAGGGGGGTGGTCACTGGAAAAGCAGGGGTCTCCGACTGCCCACACCCTAGTCTAAGGGGGCAGACACAGTTATGGTACAGCCTACTTAATCATCTATGTGTTTTTTTTTTTTCTTGCACTAACACCTTAAAATATACTCGGTGGTTTTACCATTATTTTTTATCTTGGATCAGTTGAGGCTTTATCCATTGGTCAATTCATCATCTACCTATCTTCCCTTCTAAACAGCCATTGACCCACCTATGCATCCATTACCCATCTAATTATCCATCAGCTTTCTACTCCCAACTTGCCCACCTATCCATCCACTGCCCACATATCCGTTCATCCAGTTATCCTCCATTCACTATCCATGTCTCCATTCCTCTACCAATCCACCCACCTAACCATCTATCTCTTAATCCATTCATGTATCCATCTGTCTACTCACCTGCTCTTCTACCCTCCCTTGTCCAATCTTTTTTACTTTCTTCATCTATCCTTCTTCTGACTCATCCATCCATGCACTGATCAACTCTACCTTCTACCAATCTGCCCATGTACTTCACCTCCCTGCACCTGCCCCCAACTCATTCATCTTATTCCAGTTAGGATTGGAGGTAGCTGAAGAAGAGGGAGGAGACTTCTTGCTGGAGTCTGCTAAATGTGTTGGGGTCATGGGCTGTTGCCTGTGGAGTGGGACTAAGACGAGGGTAGAGGAAGCAGAAGTAGAAATGAGGAGAGGGGAAGTGAAGGATGGACATTTTTTTCTGGGAGTTGGGAACACTAGGGAAGGGGACGGCCCCACACAAATGAGGATGATGCAGGACCTGATGAGGGTAATCCAGGGGCTCTGGGCGGCCCAGCTGGCATGATCGGAAGGTCTTCTGGGCCCTCTGTCTACTCCTAGACACAGTCTCATAGGCTAAACACCAGTGAGCCAGAGCTTAAAGTCATCCTCCTCTAGGAACTTCCCTCTATATCCAGAACACTGGTTCAATCCTTCCTTGTTGTGCCTTTGGCTCTGAGACATCCTCAGAAGGCCACCTGCCCTTCCCTCTTCCCTTGCTATCCCTCCCTGCCCCAGGTTGCACTGCAATCCACTAGCTACAGGTGCAATCCACTAGCTAAAGGTGTTTCCCACCTTTCCTGGCGCACTTCACAACAAGGATTACTCAGCTCCATCTGTGCTTTCTTTGTGCCTTAGGAAGCATCACGGAGCTGCTAATGAAGCAGGAAGCCGTGTCCACCACGGTCCTTAATAAGGGTCTGGAGGCTGCAGATTGCATCCTTTGCTCTGAAGTTCACACTGCACTAGTCTGACTCGTCCCTGGTTTGCTTCTCCCCCTTGTTGAGACATCTGAGGTTCTACTTTTGCAGGTTCACTCTTCATGGAGGAGAAAGAGTTGGCCCATGACACAATGTGCACCTCCAAGATCACTCATGAAACAATGAGTTTCTGTCCTCCAGTAATGGTGGGAAGCAGGGCTGGTCTTAGGATGTCCATCCAAGCTCAGGGGCACTCAGTCTGGGGGATAGTGGAAACCTAGGTTGAGCATCCCTTGGAGATGGACCCTTTAGAGACTGACAATGAAGATTTTAGATGTTCCCTTAACCTCCCTTCCCTGGGGAAGCAGTGAGGACCAAGGACAGGGAAAGAACAGAAGGGCTGGCTGTGGTTGGACCGGTTCCAGAGAGCAAGGGGGGAGGGGGTGGGGCCGGCGGCTGGGAGGTAGCAAGGGTGGTGAAGGGAACCTGGGGCTATGTACTCAGAAAGCACAGAAGTGGGAGGAATCTCAGAAGTCCCTGCACCAATGGGGAAATTGAGGCAAGGAGTTGCCCACGGTCATAGAGGAAGTTATCAACAGAGGGTATTTAACATCTGCATTTCTCATCTGGGGACTCCCAGGAGGCTGAGCAAGTATGCCTCTTGCTGGGAGGGGAGGGGCTCCAAGTAGGGTCGGGAATGGGGGTATTGGTCATCTTTTTATTGAGAGAAAGCGCAAGCAGATGGCAAGAGGAAAGATGGGAGGAGCAGGGGAGAAGAGATTTAGATGATCAAAGTTTAGGGGGAGGCAGGCCAGGGCTGGGGTCCTCACCGAGCCCTCGGAGCACTGGTCCGACTCCCCGCTGTCGAAGAGGGCCAAGTCTTTGATGAAGACAGCGGCGGCCCTCAGGATGAAGGATATGAAGAGGTGCATGTGGATGTAGTTCCGTGTGCAGTGCAGTTTCCTGCGTGGGGTGGGTAGATCTGGGAGGCCGAAGGAGTCTTGGACTCCCAACCCTGCCAACTCCCTCCTGTCCCCAGGGCAAGGGTAGAGGAGCATGTGGCCTCTAGGACGCAGGCCTCACCATATCCTGCAGGTCCCCCAAGTTCCTCTGTCTCCAGTGCAGCTCTGCCGTGGGTGCCTCAATTGGGTACAAGTCCCACCCTAGATGCCCCCTCCCTAGGGCAGGGCCATCCTGTCGGGGATTGGGCTGCAGCAGCAGATGAGGTCCGCGGTCACCTGCCATCTCCAGAGAGTCTGGCACAGCCGCGTCTGATCCTGGCTGGCCTTGACCGTGTGACACTGGCCCAGTCTGCATTCAGGTCTCCTGCCTGGGCTGGGTCTCACCTGAACAGGCTCAGGATAGCCGTGGCGACCAGTAGGGCAGCAAGGGACAGGCTGTAGCCGATGGTGTAGCCAGTCTTCACAGAGCTGAAGAACACGGTCTGCTGCTGCTGCAGGGGGCAGGGTGGGATGGTGGGGGGAGTGGGCAGAGTAGGGGGCAGGGTGTCACGGTGGGGGAGTGGGCAGAGCAGGGTGGGATGGTGGGGGAGTGGGCAGAGGAGTGGGGAGAGTGGGCAGAGCAGGGCGCCTGGGCAGAGGAGCAGGCTGCAGCCAGGGCTCCAGAGAGCAGCTGGGGTGATTCCTGCAATGGCCCACCCACTCCGATTTCTACAGATGGGAAAGGACTGTGCCCCAGGATGGGGCCGAAGGTAGGGGTGGGTTTAGTCTCTCTCTCTCTCTCTCTGTTCTTTCACAAGGGATGAGTTGCAGAGAGGCCAAGCAATGACCTCACACACACCCTGTGTTTACTGTTCATTCTCCAGCCATGTGTCCCGCCCCGCTCTGGGCAGCTTTAGGTAGCTCAGTTTTAGGGCACCACGATACTCTTTCTCTGGGTGACAAAGAGACCCAGGAAGAGTAGGTGGGTCAGGAATTCATGGGGGAGCGCTATTTTTCCACCCTGGGCTCCCAGGGGCTGGGCCTGTGGAAGAGGGAAGCTTGGTTTATGGGTATACGGCCTGTCTTCCCAATATGATGCCCTTTCCACGGCATATATATACTTGGGGTTGCTACTGGGCATGCATCTCCTTCTGTCTTGCTCCACGCTACCCCCTGGAGTAGAGAGAGGAGGTCCTGGCTGACCTGGTGCAGACAGACACACGTGTATTTGCACCCTAAGGCAGTGAAGGCTGGGAGCTGAGGACTCCAGGTAGACCCCAGCCTCCCTGTCTATACCCTGACCCCTTCCCCAAATACTTAGACTCTCCAGGCTCCACCTGCTCTGGGAGAAGTGAGGATAGCAGGCCTCCACCTGTTCCTGCTCCTGTCTGGCTGTGCAAGTTCCTTCTAGGACCTGCACCTCAGTTTCCCCTATGGGAACAACAGAGGGTATCTGCCCCACTGGACTAGAGTGAGGCTGACCCTGGGGAATTGCACTGGGGACACCTCCCCCACTGTGTCCATCGCGGTGAAAGCCCCTCCCAGGGTGGGGAGGCCAGGGGATGAGTTCCCCCAAAATGAGGTCTGCAGAGAGAAGGTTTTAGGAGGGCTAGCCCCAGGAGGCCTGTCCCCTCCTCCCATCCATACAGATGTTAGCAGCATCCCTGGGAGAGATGGGTAGGGGAAATGGGAGACCCAAGCGCTCTGCAGCTGGAGTGGGGTATGAGGAGGCCCACCTCATCCAAACTTGATGCCTTGTCATTCAAGCCACAGGCCACAGGGTAGGGACCAGGTTCCAGGTGTGTCCAGCCCTCGTCGGTGCAGCTGCGGCTCACGTTGCGGCCTGGGAGGGGCCAGGGAAGAGAGAGGCTGAGGACTGGAGCAAGATCAGTCACAGGGGTGGACCACGGGGACCTGCCCCTCTCCGTGCCATCCCAGCGATCCTGGGTGCTGGCAGTTCCCGGGGACCCTGATCCAGACGCACCCAGGGTACCGTGGGGTCGCTGAGCAGGAAAAGGGCCCTATAAGGTTTCAGATTCCTCGTCATGGTGTGAACCTGACCCTGGCGGGCAACAGAAACCCTGATCCTTGTCACACCCTCAGACCCACAATACTGCCCTGGAATGACCCTGAGCTTGCTGTGAGCTGGACTGCCGACCCTCATTGCAGGGCCGTGGTCAGGATGGGGACCTCCCCAGTGAGCCTTGCCTCTGTGGGGCCATGGGACAAGGAACAGAGGTGTGGCGCAGGGTGGGGATTGAGGGTGTCTGATGTCGTCCCAGATCCGACAACCCCATAAACCAAGGATCTGGGAGTTCCTGTAGTAGGGCCTGCCTGGGCACAGGCATGAGAAAGGGCATCAAGCAGCCTGGTATGGTGGGAACTGGGGGCAGCAACAGGTTGGAGGGGGCAGATGGGGTTCTTGGCCAGCAGCTGTGCTCTCTGCCACAGCGAAGGAACAGGACTGGGAAGGGGAAGGGGAGCAGTCAGGCTCCCCACGCTGCAGCCCTGGGGAGGGGTCCTGCCCTAAAACGAGAGTAGGGGTTGAACAGACAGTGGGGAAATAGGAGAAGTATTGTTCTCCTGCATTCTGGGACTCACGTGTCACCATCACATCACTGCCATCGTTACCCCCAGCAGCGTTACACAAATGCCACCTGCGAGATTTCCCCAGGTTGGCGCTAGAAGCACAGAGGGCTCTCGGCGTATGGTCATGCTTACAGCCCCTCAGCCATCCAGTAAGGAAGGCCAACCCCGCATGTCACAGCTGGGCAGTAGAGGCTGTATTTGCCCAAGGCCACACGGGGAGGACAGAGTCGAGCCGGTCTGGTCTCCAGAGGCTTCTAAGGCCATGCTGGAGTGGTCCCGCTGTCCTTGTACATGCGTGTGTTTAGGATTCCAAACCTTGCCGTGTCCCTGGAATACACCAGCTGAAGAGACAAGGGCCATCTGGGGGCGGGGGAGGGTCAGGCAGGAAGAAGCAGCCCTGGGTCTGTTTCTACTGTGTGCTATCCCCCGGGGAGGGGGGAGAGGAAAGGAGGGGCAGGCAGTTTTCATTGAGGAAGGGGCCTTGGGCTGGGCCAGTTTCCCAGGATGGCATCCCCTTTCCTGCCCAGGCTGCCCAGCTGCACTTCTGCAAGAGGCCCCCAGGACAGGCGAAGGGAGTGCAGCTGCCTTGCTCAGCCATCGTGGCTGCTGCCCACTAGAGCTAGGGGTGGGCCTGGCTTGGCAACCGCAGCCTAGCTCTCATCAAGCTGCAGGCCCGACCAGAGCACTGGTTCTAAGGATCGCACGGCAGGCCCCCAGGCCATGCCTTCCACTCAGGAGTTGATTTGTCTGGGGACTTCCCCTGCCAGGCTTTGGCATGGAAGAAAGGAGGCCACGGTCAAACCCACCAGTTTTGAAGTTGGGATAGTGCAGTCCTGAGCTCTCCCTGCCACATAGACCTGGATGCAGTGCGGCTGGTCCCAGCGACAAGGTGAACACCCGGCTGGCATCATTGTGGCTCACTAGCAAGCCTGGATAACTCACCACGTCTACGTGGCAGTTTCCCCAGTTTGCTGTGTGTGTACAACCCTAATGTGTGAAGGCGAGGGAGCAGAGGTCATCATTGGTCTGAAAGACTGGTATTCCCAAGGCTCAGAGAGGTGAAGTGACTCACCAATAGTCACACAGCAAGGAAGCTGCCTGCCTACTAGAGCAAGGCCAGCCTGAGTCCACCTTCTTCTGGGCTCCCAGCAGTGACTGTAGTGGCATCCTGTTCCCCAAGGCCCTGGTTGCTCTCAGTTCTCGCAGAAGGAAGGGGTTAGTAGATAATCATCTGGAAGGCTTTTAAATTATTATTATTTTGATTTATTTTGTTTTTATTTGAAAGAGAGAGATCCTCGGTTCACTAACTCACACCTCAAACGCCTACAATAGCTGGGGCTGGGCCCGGCCAGACCCAGGAGCCTGTGGCTTAGTCTGGGTCTCCTGTATGAATGTCAGGGGCCCAAGCACCTTTGCCATCTGCTGCTGTCTCCCCGGGTTTGCACAATAGCAGCAAGCTGGAGCCAGGTCTTGAACCCAGGCTGTCTGACATGTGGGCGTGCCTGGGGGGAGGAGGGTGCGTCTGAACCACTCTACCAAATGCAAGCCCTTGGGTGGCCTCTTTGAAGAGCCAGGGACTAGACAGCCAAGGCCTCAAAGGGAACTGCTGCCGCCGAGATCGGAAGCCACACCCCACTCGGGGGCATCGGCCAAGGGTGTGTCTCTGCAGTCTGTCCCTAGTGGGGAGAGGAAGGGAGGAACCCCACCTTCTTCCAGTCTCCTTCCTTCTACTCATCCCTTCTCTTGGGGTCTCCAGCAGTGATGGATGGAGCCAGAAATCGGGACTCACTTCTCTCCTCCAGCACCCACACTCTGCCCCAGCCTCTCTTGCCTCCACTGTGCTTGATAGGAACCTTCTGGGGTGTCCCCTCACATCGCCTCTCTGCCCCCTCTGCCAGGCTTCCCTCCTTAAGCCAGTTGGAGTGAGCGTCCGGCTCAGTCCCTTCTGCTGAAATGCTATCCGTGGTGCCCACTCTGGGCAGCAAGGACCCACTCCTCAGGCTGGCATCGGAAGTTTCTTAAGCATGGCGACAGGTTGCATGTGGCAGGGAGAGGAGAGTTCCACAGACACGATGAATACAGACTGTGTTGAATTTCCTCGACCAAAATAGCTATCCTATTTTTTTTTTAATTCTAAAAAAAAATAGCCTCTGCAAATATTGAAGATGAAAGCATTGCAGATGAAGGCAATACAGACAACACAGTAAGGAAACAGGTTAGTGCATGGCAAGTTCCTCACCGGGCCAAGCCCCGTCGTCCGGGTGTTTTAACCCCATCCAGGGAAGGCAGCTTTCTAATCCTCCGTGGTTGGCATCTCCCACAAGCTTTCTTCAGTTTTGCCAGTAGACCCTGTCCCTCCCTGGCTAGGACACTTCGCCTCTGGTCCTGCTTTCCAAAGGAGTAGGGGTAGGGGTTGGGGGTTAGCATCAACTCTTAGCCCACACGTGAGAGCTTCCCTTTTTGCAATGTAAGGTCAGGTGTCCAACACTTTCTGCATCTAATTCCCTGGGAAAATAATCATATGCCTCTATGGTGTCAGTCTCTAACCACAGGCTCCCATTTCTTCTCATCATGTCCAGAGAAAACGCCCGCTGAGTACAGCTATGCAGGTTGCTCACTGCACATGGTATCGGGCTGATGGATGAAAAGGGTTCAAAGCTCTCCCATATGCAGCTTGCTGCTGGGCAAGCCCTGGTAGGAGGGTGACCCTGCTGAGAAAGAGCTGCCTTGTGTCTCATCTGCACAAAGGGACCATCTAGGCCCCCTTGCCTGAGGCCAGCAGCCTTGGGGTGAGGCAGGTGGTGGACAGGAGTCCAGCGAGAGAGTCGCCGGGACAGCAGGGACAGAAGAGTAGTGGGGAGGAACGCGATTAGCAGGTTGTCTCAGATCAGGGCAATTAAACAGGTGCTTTCAGGGACCTGAGCGGATGCCGGCTGCAGGCTGTGCTGAGGATACACCCTGAGACCTGTTAGAGGAGCTCGTCTCCTACCTGGCCAGGAGGTGGGTGTCCCAGAGGAGCCCTGGGCTGGGAATGGAGAACGGGACACCAACCTGGAACTCCGCATGCTTGGCTGCTCCCAGACTCCCCAGAAGCCCTGTTCCTCCTCATAGAGGTCACAGCCTGAACTCTGGGAATAGACCTGGCCCATACAAGGGTCTCTGCTTCTTCTCCACCACTGGTCCCTGCTTGCAAACTTGGAGGCTAGGGCCCGGCGCGGTGGCGCAAGTGGTTAAGTCCTCGCCTTGCACGCCCGGGATCCCATATGGGCGCCGGTTCTAATCCCGGCAGCCCCGCTTCCCTTCCAGCTCCCTGCCTGTGGCCTGGGAAAGCAGTTGAGGACGGCCCAAAGCTTTGGGACCCTGCACCCGCGTGGGAGACCCGGAAGAGGCTCCTGGCTTCGGATCGGCATAGTATCGGCCCGTTGCGGCTCACTTGGGGAGTGAATCATCGGATGGAAGATCTTCCTCTCTGTCTCTCCTCTCTGTATATCCGCCTTTCCAATAAAAAATAATAAAAATAAATCTTAAAAAAAAAAAACTTGGAGGCTAGAGTCCAACAAGGGACAGATTGCCAGAGGTCAAACACATCCAGGAATCCTTCCACTCACCTGCTGACCCCTGATCTGCAGCCCTTCCTATACATTCTTTCCCTCTTGGGCACTCCCCATCCATCCTGCTCTCTCCATTCCCCCCATGCCATCCTGCTCCCGCTTACTCCTCCCCAGGCACTCTGTTTCTCCTGGTCCTCCCTAGCCATGTTTCATTTTTCCCAAGCGCCCCACACCCCACTCCCTGAAGCAGCTCACCACTGTCCCCCACTGCTTCATGCTCTCACCATGAATCCAAACCACCATCCTCTCTGGCCCGTATTGTCACTGAGTCTCCCCATTTGTACTTCTAGGACCCCCCCCACTTCTCTCACAGAAACCAGAGCAGTGTGTGACAAGCCTCAAGCAGAATGGCCAATCCCTTGTGGCTTCTCATTGCACTTAGGAAAGCCCACGCTCTGGCCTCAGTCCTCAGGGCTGTGCAGGCAGTGCTTTTTCCCACCGCCTCCTTCCTGCCCTGAGCTCTCCCCGTGCCTGCCACCACCTGGCCTTCATGGGGTTTCCCTGAATGCTAGTGCCTGCGCTCCTGTCACCTTCCACAAATGCTATCTGCCAGGAACACCTGCCGGGTGTGCTGTCCCCTCCTTATTCTCCTGCTTGGTATTTTCATTCTTTATCGTGCGTATATTTGCATTAAGCATAACCTGAGCTCCCAGAGGCAGGTGGTGTGTCCCTCCCCACCATGCTCATCCCATTTGCTTGGAAGCGCTCCATTTTTAGGGGCATGGGAATGAATGTATAAGTCTGTTTTCCGCTTCTTTATTGACTTGGGAGCCAGACGGCCACATCTGGAAAAAGCTCTGGCTCTGTTCTGCCTTGGATGTGGACATGCATTTAGGGTACCACGACAAGGCTTGCAGGTGAAGCTATGCAAAAGTGATGGTTTTATATAGCCCAAAAGGTCATCGACTCCAGGCAAAGACTGAATCACGACCGGCATAAGAGAACAGGCACATGGGAGCCATAATGTAATCAAGCACCTGTCAGTCAATTGGCTATCAATTGTTGAGTAAATATTTAGTGAGCCGGTCCCATGTGCTTATCTCTTGTGAAGAACTTAGGTGAAGAGCTCCTTCCTAGTCCCTGTGCCACCATCCACCATCGCCTCAGTCGGGAAGCCTTCCAGGTTGCTCCTGCCCCTTAGACTTGTTCCTTTGCTTTCTTGCCTGCTTGAGCTGTGAGTCTGCACCCAAGCCATATACCACCCGGCTCCCTCCCTTCAGCCCAGGGTCTGACCTTGAATGGGGGAGAAGAGCGTGAAGATGGGGGGGCAAGCCAAGACGACCACCTGGCCCCGAGGGGTGGCTGGCCAGCAGGTGAGGTTGTCCCACATCTTGCTGCAGCCTGTGGAGCCAAGGCAGGGAGACAAGGATCAGCCACATCCCTCCGGCCCTGCGCCCCGAGCTGCTCCCCTCCATCCCCTGCTAATTACTGCCAGGGGGAGTCCGTAGCCTGAGAGGGGAGGCCCAGCCTTGCCAGGGTGGACAGGGCCTGTCCTGGTAGCCGTGGGGAGCAGGAGGCACGGCCATGGCTCTGCAGTCTTCAGTGGAGGACAGAGTGTCTGGTGGGGGTTTTGTTTGCTGTGCTGATGGGGACTGGGTTCCACCTGATCTTTGATGTGCATGTGCCCCTCTGCGTGCTCCTGCCCCATGAACTGTCTTGGATTCTTCATGACCTCCGCGTGACCGTAGCCCAGACTCTCACTCCATTTTACGTTATCAACTCAAGGTATTCACGGCATGGGTTGAGCCTGCAAGTTTCTCAGAAAGGCGACTATTGCGTAAAAGGAGAGAAGAGTGTCCTTTGTCCCACTCTGAGCTTTACTGGGAATCATTCCACGTTTTGGAAAACCATGTTACCTCCAAGCAATGCTGCCTGCCATGGTCTGAGACACTAGTACAATCACCTGTATACATCATTCAGCATTTATAGCTCTCACATGTCCGGAATTCATATTTATAGGTACAACCTTCAGACCGTACCTGCTGATCTTTGAGCACAATCATGCCTGAATATGTATACAGTATTGTATTATAAATGATTTTCCTTTCACATTACAACTGGACTATACACACACACACACACACACACACATATATATATATACACATATATACATATAAATGAATAGGTATGTGTCCTGGATATCACTTTCTGATAGGAAAGGAGGTGCCAGAAAATGTTTGCTACAAAAAAGAGGTGCTGAGGGTGTTGGGGTGCAGCCGAGTGCAGCACAGATGTCCTCAATTCAGTGGGATGCAAAGGGCTTAGGGAGGCTGGGCAGACAAACCCTGCCTCCCAGACTAGGCTCTTCACTTTGGTACTGTCAGCCTCACAGTGCCCGGCCGCTGCAGGGGACCTGGGGGTCCCTCAGGAGTCTGCTCTACCAGGCAGATGCCAATTTGAAGGTTTTGTTTCTTTAGGAGTCAGTTACTCTCCCCCCACACATCCCCCTACTCCAGCCAGGGAGTGTGACTACTCTGGACCCCTGCCCTTGTGGAAGGCTTAATTGTCTCTTTGCAGTCCTGCCAGTCCCATAGATTTACTCGGGAAACCCAACCCCTGAGCCAAAGTCAACGCCAGCTGGGCCAAGCCCTGCCCAGCCCAGGTCCGAAGGTTCACCAGTTCCCAAGAAGGGGGCCTGGGAAGAGAAGGTGGAGGCACGGCCCCGCTTGGGGAAGAGCCTCGGAACTCTGTGTGCCCGGGGTGCGGTGGCAGCAGGTGCAGTTTCCTAATGGGCTGCAGCAGTCAGGTGACACCTGCGACTGACAGCGGAGGGAAGACGCCTGCCCCTCGGAGGATCAGGCACAGAGTATAGCCTCTGGTCTTGTGGACCCCCACCACTTGCACTCCAACTTGTCCTGAGGGCTCTTGTGGCTTCACTCTGGCTGCCCGGCTCTCTTCTCTTCCCATGCCAGCCTCTCTGGAGGCCACGCAGGGGCCTTCAGGCCAGTTGAACCCTGCTCATGGTTTAAGATGCTGCTGATAATATTGGCAAACACGACGTCATTCTGTTACGTGCCAGGCTTTGCTCTTACGTCTCTGAAGGCATTGTTGACTTCAGAGGAAACTGAGGCTGAGCAACCAGGTGATCAGTAGCCTAAATTCACATTGTCAGTGAGTGGTACAGCCTGGTCACACACCCAGTCTGAAGGCAAGTTTGTGGCTGCTGGACTTTGTTTATCCCTTGCTGACAGTGCTTGGCACACCCTGTTTTGTGGGCCAACTATTGTCTGAGAGCCCGCCAGATCGGAATCTCCAGCTGCCGCCTTGGGTTGGGGAGTGCAGTCAGTGTTGGGTCTCGGGCCCTGAGCTTGCTTCCACTGGAGAAAAGACAGAAAGGAGAGAACTCGAGTTCTGCCCTTGGGAAGGCCACCCTCAGCCTCAAGGAACACTCAAGCACTGGCAAGGTTGGGCAGTGAATGGGGACCGGGGCACAGGTCAGCAAGCAAAGCAAGGGGAGCCAGGAAAGAGAGGCCAGGGTGGAGGACATGGTCAGGGGAGCTTCTTGTGGGAAGCAACACAGGCCTGGTCTTCCAGGGCCACACAGCTGGGGATGCAGATGAGGGGCAACAGCGAGGAAAACAATGCTTGGTAGCTGGAAGGGCTCATCATTAGGGGCTCCCCCTTGGGACTGTGGTGTGTGAGCCCACCCTAGGGAGGACCCCACAGCTGACTGCCTACAGATAACATAGCCCAGGCTAGCTGTATGCTCACCAGGGCTCTGACCCCAACAGCGCAGTTGGAGATGAGGCAGGATGCAGTGGGGGCCTCTGCTATGTTGTGTTTTAGATGTGTGCACACAGAGGCACACACTAACTTGTGTGTCCCAGCAGGCATGCGGGACCCCAGACACACATGCAAACACACGTGCATGAATGCAGGGATGGCTGGTTAGTCAACAGGTACAGTGGAACATGCAACTCCAGACACACACAGACACACACACAAGACAAACACACACACACACAGATACACAGACATGTACATACATACCCGCACACACACATCTGGGCCCACTCTAGACATTCACATCAATGACGTGCTCTAACACGGACACACAGAAACACAGATCAGGGCAGGCACATCTTGGTGTGCCCAAGCTTAAATAGACACACGGCCCCAACCCACACATCAAACCCAGAGTTCCAGACGACCCCAGGCAGATGCAGGCTACGGTATACCCTGCACATTCACAGACACACACACACAGACCCCTGTGGGTCATTGGAAGACCCACAGCCACTGTCCCCTGCCTGCCCTCTTTGGGATCCCAGGCTGGCTGCCATGAGACAGGGTGGTGGCACCTGATAGGCTTCCTGTGCCAGCAATGATCTCATGAGGATCACGAGATGGTTGGCCCCTGCCGTCTGGAAGGCACTGTGATAGGACCTGCAGTCTGGAGTTGGGGCCTCTGGAGTCCTCTCTGTGGCCTCACCTGCCTCTCTGCCCTAGCAGGACGGAGAGGAGCCATGCTGGTAGTGGTGTGGTTCAGACCTTAGTCTTAGGGCCAGGCCTCCTGGGTAGAGGGGGCTGTGGCACCCAGGGAAGGCAAGGCTATACACATTCACTTACAGTGCAGGAGGCAGAGGGCAGGGGTGCCAGGCCTAAGAAGAAGGACCCTAGAAGAGGGGGTTATATAACTGCCAGTCCCAGAGAAGTGGCAGGGAAGCCAAGATGATCTAAAGATGCTCCCTGCTGCGGGGCAGGCTGCCCTGGCCCTGAGAGATGGCATGTGCACGTGGCAGAGTGCCCTTGGCATCTCAGCGGCAGGGCTGAGGGTGAGGAGGAAGGAGCTGGGCCTTGGCTTTCCCTGCTGAGGGGAGTGCTCCATCCCTGCCCAGGCCGTTGCTCCTTCTTGCTCTGCGTTGCTTTGATAGTTCTGAGCTTTCACGAGGTCTTCGTGGGGTCACATTCAGTGTCTGAATGTCCCCTCCTCTTCCTCAGAGAGGTTGATGCAGGAAGACGGCTACTCCCAGGTGTGGCATTCTGGAGCCCCCTTCTCCTAAGCTAAATTCCAGCTTTTTCAGGGGGATGCAGAAACCTGCCCCTAGGAACGCTGCCACCCAACAGCTGCCCCAGAGCCTCTTTGGCCTGAGAGTGAGGAACCTGTGTGTCCTCATGGCCCAGAGACCTCGCAGTCTTCAGGGTCCCAAGCCTTCCACCCTTGGATGGGAGTCGCAGAGGGGGAGCTGGCTTCATTCACTTTCCGGAACTCCACATCAGTATGTTCTCCTTGGGAGCTGGAGGCTTGGTAGTCCTTTTGCTTTTGTCTGCTCAGACCTCACCACCTGCAGCTCTGTGGTGCAGCCTGTGCCTGTGGTCGCCCATCCTCCACGTGGGGAAGGAATGTGACCCAGATCTGGCTGCACAATGAGAGATACCTAGGGCTTTGCAAGGCCTCACCTGCCGTTTCATTCTCCAGCTGGGCCTCCTCCAGGCACTGCCTGCGCTGCATCTCAATCATCTGCAGGTAGTCGCACTCCTGATGCATCCTGGTCGCCCGGCCACCCTGGGGACAGAGGTACGAAGGAGCCATGAGCCAGGCCCAGCCTGCATCTCACCCACAGCATCCACAGCATAGCCCCGCCACTGGAATGACACTGCTTATACCCCAGACTGAACTGCCCAGCCCCCGACTGAACCCCGACTCCTAACTGAATCTGACTCCAAACCGTTGTTCATTCTTCCCTTCCAGGCTTGGTCCGCCTTGGGGACCCTGACGAGGCTTCCTGTGACCCCTGGGAGGCAGCTATAGAAGCTCTGACTCTTTGCAGGTGGCTAGCCCTGCACACAAATGGGAAGGCCTCTTCTTGGAACCCTAAGTTGCCTACTGGACTGTATCTCTCTCCAGCTTGAGTGGGGAATCCTCCACTCCACCTTCAGTCTTCCTGGAGGGATGTGGCCCGGGGGGTGTTTGACCCTAGGTTCTGAGGCCAGGCCTGGGGAATATCCTGGCATCTGGCTGTACCTTCGGCCTCTGCTCCATGCTGGGAGGTGATGCTCACCTAGCTGGGAAGGACACGCTGGCTCTTCCTGCCCAGACCCCACCAGTATCCTTTTGATTTTTACTTATGTATTTATTTCAGAGAGATAGAGAGAGCAAACCCATGCTCTTATCCACTGGTTCATTTTCCGAATGCCCTCAGCAGCTAGGGTTGAGCTGCAGCCAAAGAAAAATCCAGACTCAGAATGCGATTCAGGTTTCCCACATGGGCAGCAGGCATCCGAATACTTGAGCCATCACCCCTGACTCCCAGGCTACACATCATGGGGAAGCTGGAGCCAGAGCTGAGAGGATGAAACCCAGACACTCCAACGTGGGATGTGCGTTCTGGACTGTTAGGCCAAATGTGTGTCCTGAATACCCAACTGTAGCAGACCTCCAAAAGGTAGAAAGGAGGGTAGAGAAGTTAGCAAGGCCCTGCTGGGATGCCTTGAAATCACAGCAGGCCTCCCTGTCTCTGTCATGTGGGTAGATGGACGGAAGAGCCGGCCTTCTCCCCTCTGTTCTTCTGAGTGCTGCTCAGGGATTACAGGTGGGGCCAGACCAGTAACACAGGGCCCTGGGCACTGCAGCAGACTTGGGAGTGGGAGAAGGCTACTCAGGAATAGCTACAAAAGACCAGGCCTGGGAGCTCTTGGGTTGGGGAAAGCCACTCTGGAGGAACCATTGTCTGGTGGCAGCTTCTGCTGGTCTTTCAGACTTCAGGGAAGTGACTGCAGCCCCATGGCAGCGTGCTTGCGTCTGCCTGGGGAGGAGAATGCCACAGCCCCTCACTGGAGCCGTGGGCAAGGGTCCAGCATGGCTGCTCCTGAAACAGAGGTTCCTAGAGTCTTCCAACTCACCCCTGCCACTCCTGTGCTTCGGTTGGTCTGTAAGCTAAATGTGCCTGCTGATCCAAAGGTTTCTTGAAGTTGGTTGTAGGGAGAGAGTTGAGGGGTTCTGTACTTCATTTCATTTCTTTAAGGAGATTCCTGTCTGGCTTGTAGCACCCAAATATTATACATCCTGACCATTGTTCTAAGTAAATTAACTCACCCCCTCCCACCCCTGCCAGGAGGAAACTGCATCCCAGGCAGCAGTGGTCCCTATTGCTATGGAGAAAGAGGGGTCCAGATGAGGCTGGGTAACTCCTTGTCCAAGAAGCCACATAGCTGGGTCACTTCTGCCTCAAAGCTCTCCCATGCCTTGTAGAAGGCCCTGGCGGAGCATCACAGTCTCAGAGGTCACCACTGGTCCCGTTGGTCTCAGTGCCGCCAGCATCAGTGCCTAAGCGAGCCACTCCTGGTCCAAGGAAAAGTCTCCTGATTCAGGACACCTTTCAGGCTTCTCCAGCGCTGAGACGACACCTGTCTCTTTGCCACTGTCTAGAATGATGACTACAGAGAGGATCCACGGGCTTGCTCATGTCACCCACCAGGCAGGAAGAGGCAAAGACGTGAGCTGGTGAGATACCCAAATGAGGCACGTGGAACATAACAGGGCCCTATCACGGAACGGGATGTAGTTGTTTGTGTCACTGGTAAACAAGAGATAGGAGACTTGGAGGGGGACTTGATGTTTGTGCCTCCTCTCTGGAACCGTGGTCTTCCCCCCTTTCCCATAGGGTTATTCTAGGTGAAGCCCTCATGGGGCTGGTCTTAAAGCAGCTGGTGCCAGCTCCGCCTTAGGTAGATATCAGAGGTGGCCTTTGGCAGAGGAAGCTGGGGACTGGCCACGCTGGCCAGTATCCACCCTCGACTGACCATGCTGAGCATGTCTGTCACTGATGTACCTTCTCTTATGGTCTTGTCCACCAGCAACAAGGTTCCCTCTGCCCTTTCCCAGCCTCTCTTGCTTCTCCTGCACATTCTCACCACCCTTGGTGGGACCTCCTTCCGGCTCCCACCGACTTTTACTCTCCTCCTCCCCATCTGGGGGACCACCTCCTCCTCCAACCCCTGCTCCTGAGGTTCTAATGAACCCTCTTCCAGGGCACCAAACATGTGACCCAAGACTTAGGTCACTCGGAGCGTTCCTGGCCACAGTTGCCTGGCACATAGCCCAAGTCAGGCTATTCAGAGGCAGAGGCCTCTCTCCTGGGACACTGGATTAAGTGATGAGGCAAATGGATTTGCTTTTTCCCACTGATCTGGAGACCCCAAAGGATGCAGGGGGCTGGAGCTGCCGCCACTATCTCGTTATCAGAACACGATGACAAACCACACAGCTGAAGGTAGATGAGAACAATGGAGAAAAGCCAGGTCCCTGGGTGCATCTATGCCTGAAAGCTGCCTGCCTCCAGCAACGTGAGCCCACACCTGCCTTTAAAGCCTGAGCCAATTAGCTTTGCTGCCTTGTGCGTGAGGTGTCCAGTCTAGTGGTGGGACTACAACAGATGCCCTCACTTTCTCTTGAACCAGGGTTATGATCATGCAGTTTGCCAAGACAGATTTCTTTTCCAATTCCCTTGGGCACTCAATGTTCCTGGCAGCTTCTGTCTCAGGGCGGGAGAGTGTTGGGCTATCGTGTCTACCTTGCTACCCTAGCAGCACAGCTACAGAGCCCTTCCTCAGAGGCAGCCGCGGGAAGAGGTAGTGACATGAGCTCTCAGGGTAGCCAGCAATGAGGGGGGTGGTATCTTTGAACAAAGTGGACATGGGCTGCATGTCAGCTGAGTGCTGGGCCCCCTCTGGACAGAGATTGACAAAATGGAGACTGGAGGAAGGGCCTAAGGTCACCCAGCAAGTGCACATTCCCAAATGGGCCCCAAGTCTCTGACCGCTGGTCTGGACTAGATCAGTCCTTTTTCATAGTTTTGCCTGGGGCCCATCTGGTCAGCTAGGGCAAGGGCAAATCCCTCTAGCCCTTATCATTGAGGAATTCAGGCAGACTTTGGACTTCCTCTCTCTTAACTTATTTCCCTATTCTAAACATCCTCATTATCCCTTTGGACCCTGGGTACATGGAGAGAATTGGAAAATTCCTTGGCTGAATACAGTTGAGACTACGGATCCCAGGGTGGGATGTAGCAGGAGTGTGGGTTTCATGTGGAATGGCTAGTAGAGACAGACTCGGAGGGTGCATAGCAGCAAGACAGTCAAAAGTGGAGTAAGAGTGTTCCAGAAAGCGGGAGCGAGGTGTGCACACATGCACGGGGGCACGTACACGCCCAGTGCAGTCCAAGCTGTGGGAAGTCTGGTGTAGCTGCAGCGAGGAGTTTGGGAGGTCCCAGAAGACAAGTCAGAGGTTACAGACAGGGTTGGGACTGGAAAAGGCCTGGAATGCCCATTCTGAATGTGAACTTGAACCCTGGGGCGAGGTACAGTGGGAGGGCATCAGAGATCTGAAACAAGAGAGTCAGAGTAGAGGCTACATACTTTGCAGAGATCTCCCAAGGCTGCAGGTGTGGGCCCTGGGGGAACTGGCATCCTTTTGAGGAATGTAAAGTGAAGCACCTGGGACCAGGTGAGATAGCAAAAGGACCCCTCTGTTATATAGCACCATGCACAGGTGCTTCCCTGGGGGCCATCGAAGGAGGCAGGGTGATGGGAAGCCCTTAGTGTGCTGTACATGGTTCATTAGCCACCTTCCCCAGCCCTTGTATCCTGTGAGCTGCTGAAGCCACACAGGGGAAACCGAGGACACATAGGGCTTCGGCTTTGGTTCCTGTGTTTGTAGTCCATGAAGCATAGGAAGGGGAGGGAGGGAGGAGCTGCAGTGGGGAGGGCAGGAAGACAGTGAGTGAGGGACACAGGAGAGTATGCAGACCCTGGCATCCAGATGCCCCAGTTTAGCAGAGGAACCAAAAGGAGGAAATCAGGTTTCACTTCAGGGAAGCCAGCTGGAGCCATGGGAAGGGGTCACAGCTCGACCTGGGTGGTGGCTGCTCTGGCGTGCACATGTGTGACAGCTGTCACTTGTGCGTTTTACTCATGAAGCATGTCTGGGAAGTTGCCGGGCAACATGTGCTTTAAGCAGCTCCACCCATGTAAGACCAAACTTCTGGCACTTGATGGGTGCACCGTTGCCTGGTGGGGTCACCTTGGGCAACGTATCTGGCCTCCTCTGTAAAAGGGGGACAATAAACACGTTGACTTCGAGGATTGTGTCGAGGGTGACGGGGAAATGGGCACTGATCTGGCCCTCAGGGACTGCCAGCAACGGTTACAGCTCTTGCCAAAGGTCCTTCTCTCGTGCCTGGCTGGCCCTGCCACAGTCTCATTGCCTGGCATCTGCTCAGGGAGTCGGAATGCCCTCCCCGCTGTGGAGTGGCCCCATACCTGCCAGGGGAGAGGTCTCTGTCACTCCCCCTGTCCCTGACTCTAGTGAGAGCTCTCTGTCCGTCCTTGTATTTTCACATTCCTTTGGCAGTGATCCAGAGCCTCCCCTCTCTGCAACCAAATTTTGCCATCCATACCTCCTCCTGGGGAAGACTGAGTCCCTGTGTCAGGAGAGAAGGAGTGTGTGTGTGTGTGTGTGTGTGTGTGTGTGTGTGTGTGTGTGTGTGTGTGTGTGTGTGTTTGGGTGAGGGTGGCAGGCGTGGTAAGGAACAGCAGGAATGTAAAGAAGTACATTTGGCTTGAGGCAAGAAAGAACATTCCAGAGCTTAGAGTGGTACCAGGACAAGGGTTCTTGCAATGAGCAGACTCCAAGCGAGACCTTCAGCCTGTTCCCATCTAAGGGAGTTTCTTGGAAGCTTTCTTTCGGGGCACCGAGCCTAGCAGGCCAAGTAGACAATCTCATCCTCTGCCCCTTGTCAATCATCCAGAGCACCCCCAAACTTGGTGTCACCTGAAGGGGGCTGGGGGTTGTGAGGCTCCAAGTCCTTGGGGCAAGGAGGTTGGTGTGTGACCTCTTCACTTGCCTGGGCCAAGTTCAGGAAGAACTTGTTTTTAAGTCAGATAATAGAAGGCACTTCCTGAACAATAGGAATCTTTACATCATGAGCCACACTAGAGGGAATATGTGGGTAAAGAGCCTTGCCCAGATGAGGAGGGCAGCTTGGCGCTCCACGGCCAGGCACACTACCAACTCACTTTTCAACTCCACCCGGACCCACAGGCTGGGAGACTGGGTCCCTTGACAATGACACCGCTCATCAGGGGTGCCTGATTTGGTGCTGGTTGTAGACATGAAGGGATCTTTGTTCATTGTGTTAAGTGTGATGACAGTGTAATAGTGATACAGGAAGGTGGCCTTTGGTTTTAGAGAAGTGTGTTGAAGCAATTAGAGACAGAGAACAAGATGTTTATAATTTGGGCCTGGCGCAATAGTGTAGTGGTTAAAGTCCTCGCTTTACACGTGCCGGGATTCCATACGGGCGTCTGTTCTAATCCCGGCAGCCCAGCTTCCCATCCAGCTCCCTGCTTGTGGCCTGGGAAAGCAGTCGAGGATGGCCTAGTGCCTTGGGCCCCTGCACCCATGTGGGAGGCCCAGAAGAGCTCCTGGCTCCAGATTGGCTCAGCTCCAACTGTTGTGGACACTTGGGGAATGAACCATTGGACAGAAGATCTTTCTCTCTGTCTCTCTTCCTCTCTGTATATCTGCCTTTCCAATAAAAAAAAAAATCTTGAAAAAAAAGATTTATAATTCACCTGAAAGTATTTTAGACAGAAAAAAAAAAAGCAAATGGTACACATAGTCATTGTTGAGGACTCAACCCTCACACACAGAAACTGAGTGCTTTCATGAATAGTATACCACTCTCTCTACTTGTTGGAATGTTTCTTACAAAACAAGAGCATGTCCAAGGGAGACTAAACTGTTTCTGAGGCAACGGTAACATCTTAATCCAGGTGTCCTATTTGAGTCCCAGCTGCTATGCTTCTGTTCTAGCTTCCTACTAACCTGTAGCTGGGGAGGGAGCAGGTGAGGTCTCTGCCAGCTACATAGGAGACCCAGGTGAAATTCTTGGCCTCTGGCTTTGGACTGACCCACTCCTGGCTGTCCAGGCACTAGGGGAGCGAACCAGTAGATGGAAGATCTCTGTCCATCTCTCTGTTGTTCTGCCTTGCAAATAATAATAATAATAATAATCCCTCTTTCATTTTCTTCTTCAGAAATGCTTCTAAGAAATGAGATTTGAGATATATTGCATTTTTTCTAGACACCAAGAAAACTGTTTTGTGCTGGGAAATCCAACCCGCAGACATGATCTAGGAAGTTGTGCAGAAAGGGCTGGGAGAGAGAGAGACAAGGCTTCATCTGGGGGCCTGGCCTCTGTTTCTTCATGGCCAGGGTGGCTGCAGGCAGGGGCCCTGCAGAGGCAGGCTCAATGCTGGTGTCACAGGCTGGACCTCTACAGAGCTGATACCATGTGAGAAGTCTGTGAGTCTCTGCCAAGACTTGCTGCCTGCCCAGGCCTGGAGTTGCCACCCCAGGAAGGGATGACCTGCCACTCGGTACATACTGCACTCTGCCTCCCTCCCTGTTCCTACAAAGCTCTCAGATGTCCTGCATGGAAGACTAGTTTCATTTCCCAGGGACACTGGTGCTTAGAATGGGGGTCGGGGAGATGATACCTCCGTCAGGAGGGTGGAGCTAGCTCCATTCCAGCTCTTCCTCCCCTCCTCCCTCACACACTGGGAAAACTGAGGCTCTTCCACAGAGACGTAAGATGTTTCCCAGGTCAAAGGACTGCGGTTATCATCGTGTTTTCTGCATTCTTGTCCCCTCCACCCCCTGGCCCATGGAGACCCCACAAACCTCAGGGAAAAGTTGAGACTCAGGACAGGTGGATGGGAGTGTAGAAACTTCCAGAAGCAGCTCCCTCACCCAGCACAATCCCCTGAGAACCCCGTACAGGCCTCACAGGTCTCCTGCTAGATGCCAAGGCGGGGAGTCCCTGGGCAGCTGGGGACCACCTTCTGGCTAGGGTGCCCATGGCACAGGGTGGCTGCAGGAGTAAGTGCCCAGCAGCTTGCCTCTAGGGGGAGCCAGAGAAGCCAACCCCAGGCCATCCCACATGCTGAGGGCAGCTTCCTCTGTCCAGGGTCCAACCTGCAGGAAGCTGTTTCACCACCCTGGGAGGGGGATGGTTGGCCCTCTCGGCCAACTTTTCAGGGAGCTGTCCCTCTTTGTCCAGGGAATCCTCCCTGACTGCTCCTCTCAGAGACTGCTGTCCTGGTTTTAGGGGGCTGAACTCCTGGCTCTTCCTCCTCATAGAGGGGTCTCCATTAACTTGACAGGCTCCTGGGGCAGGGCCTGAGTCTCCTTCTCCTTGGCGGACACCTCCCCCACATCAGTCACACACTGGGCATGTCGCGCTATTGGCTCTGCCATGGGGTGAGGAGCTTCTGTGGTTGCTGTGGGGGTGGGAGGCAGGGGTAGTGGCAGCCTGGCAGTGGCCTTGGGGCAGACTTCCTCCTCTGAGACACTGGAGGTTTTCTTTTCTTTTCTTTTCTTTTCTTTTTGCTTCCCTGTTCAGAGATTTCTCCAGCCCAGGCTGAGGCCAAAGCACCATAAACAGGTGTGATAAGGCCTTGGGCCTTCAACCTGAACTTTGCAGCTGCCATTTTATGACTCTGATAACATCCCCCCCCCCCCTCCAGCCCTCACCCCTCAGGGTACTGTTAGCAGGCATGCCTGGTGTCTATCTAAGAGACAGCAAGTGGTGGCTTTCGGGGACAAAGGAGTAACAGGGAGAGTGGGGAGCTCCTTGCTCTAGTCTGTCCTTACTGGGTCCTGGTGGACTCCTTTTTCCCCACCCTGTGGGCCTAGCTGTGGACTGGGCCACGTGGGACATGAGTGGATAAGAGACCCCAAGCCTACATCCCATGGGCTGATCAGAATCTCTCTATCTAGGTGCTGGTTAGGGCTAAAGGGTGGAGTCAGAGAGGGGGAGGAGGGCTGAGTGGGCTGAAGCAATCAAAGAAGGCTGTCTGGAGGAGGAGACAGAGTTGGACACTAAATCAGTAATATGTGTAAAGACATGGGAGGAAAGAGTGAGGCTGAAGCCATCTCAGGTGGAGGGCAAGGTGGCCTAGCTGAAACCACCTTGCTCCAGGGATGGGGTACCCCTGGCTCAGCTGAGGAGAGCTGGGGCTGAGGGTGAGGACAGCCACAGTGTTGGCAAGGTCTGGGGACTTCGTGGGGCTGCAAGTGGGGTCAGAGCAGTGGCCTGGGGGTGCTGGCATAAGGGCTGGGTCTCATGAACCCCCATGAGAGGACAGCAGGCTCTGAGGACAGTTTTCTGAGCCCATGTGCACGAGATACTGAAGCAGAGGGTGTGGCCCTGGTGGGGGCAGCAGTGAAGGAAGGCATCTGGGGACACACCTGGAATCAGGGGTGGTTTGGGTCATGCCTGAAGAGTAACTCCAGATTCCACAAGGCCTTGGTACGCATATAAAGGAGAAAGATATCTCTCCGTCCAGGTCTGACCGGTGGGGGTCAGGGTCCAAGGTTCTGACGTCAGTCTCTTGCCCCATTTGTTCAACTGTAGAATGGGCTTGAGTAGACTCGCTATCTCTGGAGGGCTTTCCTGCACTCAGAGTGACCGATCCATGCATCTCCTGCCTCAAGCAGGGTTGGCCCTGCGACCCAGGTGTGTGCCATCCCCAGATGCACACCAGTGTTACCTACACCTGGGACACACAGGCACGCATGGGCCCAGGGAATAAATACACAGACACATGTGGGGAGCAAGGGGGAGGCCACCCGCTGTGGCTCTTGTCTGTCTGCCCAGCTTCTCTCCCTCCCCCCATGCACTAGGGTACACTCCTGGCAAACACCACAAGCAACCCACCTGACTGCCTGCCACCTTCCAACCCTGGCTCCTGTGCCTGGCTGCTCTGCGCAGTGGGAGGGCGTAGGGAGAGGTCTTCCCTTCACCGCCTGCTCCCGAGGGTCCCCTGGCCGGCTTCACCTCCACACAGGCACACAACGCCCTCTCCTCACCCCGCCTCGATTCTGCACACAGGCACAGCACACCACAATCACCTTCATCATCTCCCTCGTACTCACAGTCTATCAGATCTTACGCTCAGTCGACCCCAGTCCCTGTCTTGCAGCCACCGGCCTTGCAGTCGCATGCAAGCAGGCAGCCACTACCCGGAAAGCCAAGCCTAGGGGCCGGCACGCTCCCCTCCTCGCTGGCCCCTCCACCGATGGCCCGGAGGTGTGAGCTCCAGTCTGTGCTGGAAGGGGTTGGGGCGACCACGATCCCAGCCTCTCGGGTCTAAATCCGGCCCGGCAAGGAAGAGAGGAGGCGAGACGGGGCGCCCGGTGTCTGTTCTTCCCAGGACCCAGACGCGCGCACAGATGGCCCGGCTCCCGCCGCCCCCACACCCCCTAGGCTGCCGGGACTCACCGTGGGCCCGAGGGCGCAGGCGAGGGCCCCTGCCAGCACGCACAGCCAGCGGGTGGGCGGCGGGCTCTGGGGGCCCATGGTCCGCCCTGAGCCCGCGGCGGGCGGCCCCGTGCGGGCAATGGGCCAGCGGACGGTGCAGCGCGCGGGTGACGGCCAGGAACCCTCCGAGTGGCGCGGGCACCGTGGCCCTAGCGCTAAGAGGCTCGCGGGGCTGGGGGCGGGCCCCGGGGGCTCGTCTGACGGGTGACGGGCGCAGCCAATGGATGGCACGGGGGCGGAGCCGCCGTGCAGGTATTGGGCGAGGTCGGCCCCTCGGGTGGGGAGTCCCCAGCTCTTCACCCGCGAGTCCCACGCGTCTGTCTTCCGTCGTGAAGCGTGCACGAGCCCTCGCCCTTCGAGCTCGTCTCCGGGAGTCTCGGTCTTCCACCACGCCCTGTCCTTCCCTGCTCGGTGCACGATGTTCCCAGGATCCTGGTCGCGCTTCCCAAGCTTCGCACGCCCCCTTAGCCGCACCCCAGGGCGTTGCGGGTTTACTCTCAGAGCCACCTCCTCCAGGGTGCCTCCCCGCCGGTTTCTCTTCAGCGCTTCGGAGAGTTCGCGTGCCTGCAGGTTGCCGGAGGGGCAATGCCACCACCTTTCCAGGCAGCGGCTGCGACCCGCTTTGGGCTGGATTCTGGTAGCAATCGAGAGTAGGGTGGGGCGCATTGTTTCGAGGCATTTTTCAGCAGCCCCCCAATGTATCCGTCGGTCCCAAGAGGCTTGGCCAAGGGGAGCGAATAAAGCCCAACTCCGGTTCCTCCGTGCCGCCTGCGCTCCGGGGCGAGCCGGCGGGGTGCGCGCTCACCCACGGTTGCGCGGCCCTCCATGCCCGGAGGGTCAGCTCCCCGGAGGCCCGCGAGTCCGCGCCCTCGCGTGTTACGGCGCGGACAGGCGCCTCCCGAGGGAGGCTGGGCCGAAGTTCCAGCGCCCTCGCGCGGGGAGGGGAGGTCCGGCTCGTAGCTCGCAGCTGGTGCGCCCTGACTCAGCAGTGGTCCCCAGACTTCGAAAGGGAGGCTGCAGGAAGGCTGGGGTGGGTCAAGGAGCCAGAATCCACTTGCCCTTGTGACCCCCCAGCACGTGACTGCTTGGCAGGGGGAGAGACTGTAAATGCCACCAGTGGGACTAGATTGCCAGTCTGGGCACAGCCAGGGTGCCCGGCCATGCCCTTGCCATCCTCTCCCAGGAAGGGAGGTGAGACTGGACAGAGAAGCTTCCTTGGAATCTACACTTCTTGGCTCTTTTGGAACTGTTCTCTTGGGGCATCACCCTTCCTTACCTCTCAAAGGGTACGCAAAGCACTCCCCAAAGAGGCAGAAAAAAGAAACAGCAAAGGATTTTCAACCAAGGCTAACTGTGATGATGGTGTTTCAACAGATGGTTGTCCCACGTCCTGTCCCGTGTACTGAAACTTTGGCCTGGAGGGACGGGGGTAGGACTCAACCACTGGTCTGCTCTTGAGAAGTCCTGAGGAATCCGATGAAGAAAACCTTCCTTTTGCTCACCTGGGTGGCTCGGGACGGCTTCTGGGAAGAGGAGCGCTGTTAAGAGCAGAGGGAGGGAGCAAGGCTAAAAATAACAGAAGCTGAGGTGGGACAGAGTGGGAGGCTGGCTGTTCCTTGGCATCTCCGTCTCCCCTCCCCCTGCCTGAAGCCCTAGTCCCTCTGCTGGCTGTCTTTGCCTCCCCAGTGCTGGCTCGGGAGGAGCCCCCACTTGCCTCCTGATCTGATTAGCCACGCGCTGCTGGCATCCAGTCCTTCATGGATCACTGGAACCTGTCTCCAGTGTCCATCTCAAGCATCACCCCCCTCACTTTCCTTCCAGATTCCAGGACTGCAGGGGTGTGAGGATGCTGGAGGTGGGAGAGAGAGAGAGACAGAGAGAGAGAGAAAGAGAGAGTCACTTGCTCTTCCCCGTGACAACAGGCTCAGTGGGAAGAGAATCTGCAGTTACTCACTTGGAGCCTGTCTGGCTTCCTGCCTGCCGCTTCCCTGTGGTGGGTACCACCCTAGCCTCCTCCAGCCCTGCAGCCAGCTCTCAGAGTTGTACACTCAAGGCTATCTCCAAGGCTCTGGGCTCAGGAGCTCAGGGGAGGGTGCCGCAGGGGGCTGGGAAGAGCATCTGAGGACCACAGAATAGCCCTGACTGGTGTGGCAGGACCAGGCTGCACCAGGGCACGAGGAGGAAACAGCATGAGCTGGAGATCATGGCTCCAGGACTCCCCTGTCTGGATGAAGGGTGGGTTTCTGAGTTAAAGGGACCTCCATTCGCCCATAGGTCAAGTGCAGCTGGCAGTTCCAGGGATCTGAAGCACTCACTGCCTTCTGAGGTTCTGCATCTTAACTCCAAGCAGAGGTTTGGCAGGAGGGACCTGGGCAGGTATTTAAAGAAATGCTCCCTTCGAGCCTTTGTTGCAGTATGCAGTGAATATCATTCACGCTTCCTTCATGGGTTACTCCCTGTGATGGAGGCTTGGGGTGGAACTGTGACTTAAACTCCAGTCTGCGTGAGCAGGAGATTGGGGAAGTCTTCTGGTGGTGCTGCTGCTGTACCCAGGAAGAAATCCAAGTTTGCTGTAGCCTTGTTAGCTCAGGTCCTCCAGTGAGTGGGTACTACATCGGGGTAACAAGTAAATAAATCCATTGGATGGCGGGGGCAAGGGGCTCTGAAAAGATACAGGAAGAAAAAGTGGGAGTGGGTGGAAAGAACTTCAGATTGGGTCTGAGCCCACCCAATCAATTCCTAGACACCCCACTGTGTGCAGAATGGGCTGAGGTGGGCATGGCCGTGGCTCCAGCTGTGGCCCAGCATGGAGGCAATGTGCTGGAGGGTGGCTGCTGAGGTCTGAGAAATGAAAGGGAGAGCTTCTGCTCCAGGGAATAGAGGGAGACCAGGTGCAGGTTCTACCCTCAGGAACTCCCAGTCCGAGTACAGAGAAGGAATCCTTTGCTCTAAAATCATAAGGCTCAGTTCAGTGCAGGGAGTCAGCAGTACGGCAGCAGGTAGCTTAGCTTCCGGGAGGTGTAGCAGAGAATCCTGGTACAATGAAACTGGGAGACCCTGGAGGGAATGCACTGCTCCCCTTGTTTCATTCTCTGATAGCACCCGTAATCTCTGGCCAAATGCTTACTGTAGTGTGTGTGTGTAGTGTATGTGTGTGTGTGAGTACCTTGTGTGTGTCCAGCAGAGCCAGTGAGCATGTGTCCTTGTGTTTGGGCATGAATCTATACAGATACCTTGGTTTCCAGCAGGGGTCTGAGAGCAGGCTTGGTCAGGGTGAGTTCGGATGAGATAGACTGAAGGGCAGCTTCTGAGTTGTTAGGGACAGAGGACAGTACCCAGGACCACAGCCAGCACCAGGTCAACATTGTGGGGACCCACGGAACCCCAGCAGGGGTTCTGGGAAAGCTCAGACAAACTCCTCATGGGATCTCAAAGTGCTTATGTCTACCTCGGATCCCATGGATCCCAGCTCCGTGTTTGTGAATTGTTGGGAAGTTATCCCTGGATAATAAATTCTGAAACAGGGAAATAATGTAGGTAGAGCAAAAACAGATATGGAGTTTTCCTAAAACAATTGATGCCAAGAGATCAAAGTGGCTGTTAAAAAGTTAGGAGTATTCACTGGGGGAGATGGGGAAAAGAAATACTAATATAACTTCCAAACAACCAGAGGGGGAAGAAAAAAAAAAAAACAAGAAAACTTCACCGTTCCAAAGATCGCATGTGTGGGAGGATTAAACACAACAATACATGATAAATTGAAGCATTAAATCAAATGCCAGGAATAATGACAAGCATTAATCATCAGAGTCAGCATAAATGACTGGGCCTTTATGAGGGGGAAAAAAGCACCAAGAGGGTAGGTAGGTAATTCATGTTATGACATTCAATCTAGCAGGAAGATATAATAACCCCCCAACTATCGCTGCAGCTAATGAGATGGCTTCAAGATATAGAAAAAGGAGGTGCTGCCGTCCTTCCCTGCCCCTCCCTTTAGTGCACTTACACTGTACGCTTTCACACCTCCCCGACTTGGCCTAGGCCACACCTTTTGCCAGGAATGCCTTCCTCTACATAGCCCTGGGAGCTCAGTCGGGCACCTGCTCTAGCAAGACTCCGGGAACTCTGCTGGGAGTCAGGCCCAGAATGGGTGTCAGCGGAGGCTGGGTGAGCAGGAGGGATGTGGAAGACCCTGCTTGGATCTGTCACTGACTCTAGGCCTTGGCCAACATCCACGGTCGTCACAGGCTGATCTCTAACCCTGATCGATCTAGACTGGTCCCTGGGCCACAGTAACCCATGAGTCCAGGCTGATAGCTGACTGATTGTAGGCCTTATTATTTATTAAAAGGCACAATGATGAGGTAGGGTAAGAACGAGAGAGAGAGAGAGAGAGAGAGAGAGAGCTCTCCCATCTGCTTGTTTATTCCCTGAATGCTCACAGCAGCTCAGACTGGGCCACGCTGAAGTCAGGAGCTGCAAATTCCATTGTAAGTTTCCCACGTGGCTAGCAGGGTCCCCAGTACTCGGGCTATCCCTTGCTACCTCCCAGGCACATCCAGCAGGAAGCTGGATGAGAAACAAAGATGGGATTTTATCCCAGGCATTCTGATATGGGATGTGGGTATCTCAAATGGTGGCTTAAGTGGCAGTGCCACGATGCCCATCCTCTGACAATCTGTGACCCTGATTGCAGCCCAGCTCCCACTGTCTAGTGTGCGAAGTGAGAGAGTCTGTATAAGCTCCCAACAGCCAGTCATGAGTATCTGGGCCCCTGAGGTTCCCTCCAGGTTTGGAATCTTTGGGCACCTTGGGAGACAGTTCCCACAATTGCTCTTTTTGAGCCATTCCTCCCTTCTCTAGCTTCCCAACCTCATGGACGCTGCTTATTTGATAAAGAACTTCTGGGACAGGAGCTGAGGGCGGAGAGGAACTGGCCAGGCCAGCCAACACCTGTTTGCACAGATCTAGGTAAAAATAGCCTTGGCTAGGTGAGCCTCTCCCACTTCCTCCTCTCCTGGATCTTGCCCAGACCAAATCTCCTGCCAACTCTTCTTACTGCTAGGCCTTCTTTTTCCTGGGATGGGACTGGATACTGATGAACAGGAATATAGTCCCTGACA